CAGACACTTACCCACAGCAGAGCCCAGTGCCTTGGTTTGCAAGAGAATGAAACTAAATTGGATAAAGCTGCCTCAGTTCTAGGTGAGGTTACCACATGGGAGTTGAGCATTGCTTAATTAATCCACTCTCATTAAACCACACACCCCAAGCAGCCCGTGGATGTGGAGTCACGGGATCCTGTGCTTGTGCTGGGATTTCAGTGAGTAGATGTGTTTTGGAGGCAGGACCCTGATGCCAGATCCTGCCCTTCCACCTCCTCATCTATACGACGGGGGTCAGGATGGGAAACACGTCTGGTAGCTGAAAGCACCATCCCTCAGGACAAGGACTGGTGGGATCAACTGCGCTGCATTACCAGGGGACAAGAGGTGCCAAGGGGCAGGTGACCTGCAGGCCCTGCCCTGTGGAGGCTCTGTCTGCCCCCCAACATGTGCTGTGGGGCTTGTGCAGCAGCGACGCGTGTGGCCAGCAAACAGCGATGGGCTCGGGGCACGGCTGGAGTCGGGCCCCAGGTCCTGGGGTGGGATGAATGATTTCAGCGAACACCTCCATCACTGCGGGACAGGTTATAGCTCCATTTACATTGTTTCTCTGTTGACTGTGACAAACAATTGCTGTTCTTATCACACACCCCGTGTGGTAAATCATCTCAGGTGCCATATTTCTAAAGCACTGGCACGGCAGATCTCTCTGTTGGGCTGTGCTCCAAATCTCAGATTTAATGTGAATGTAGCTGTGTTTACTCTTTCTAATTCTCTTTGTCATTTCGAAAGCATCAGTCAAATGCTCTTTCAGCAGTCTCTCAGGGTACCACAATTGTTTCTCCACTCCCTGCTCTTCTGGATCATTATATTTACCTCCTCATTGCTGTCCCTATATTATCTTGTAGCCTAGGACCTGATAATTGCACTCGGTTATTAAGCCTGGATCTGACTGGGGTTATTTTGCCACTGCAGCCTCATGTCTGCTCATTCTGTGAAATATGGCATGCAGGCATTAAGTTTATCATTTTTGATTGCATGGGTTTATGAACAGACAGAGCAATTAGAAACCAGTCCCTTCCTGCCAGCTCGCAGTTTGGAGCACTGCATGGCTGAGGATAACGCTGTCCCCAGCCTCCCAGCCCCATCCCATTGTAGGAGTTTCCTGGAGCAGGAGGTGTGCTCAGGAGCCTGGGACAACATGGTTATCCTCCTCTGGTCTTCCCACCATTGCTACCAGCTTCCCTAAGAGTTCTGGAAATGCAGTGGGAGCAGAGAGAGAGGTGAAGCCACATCACAGCTTTGAACTAGTCTAAGAAACAAAATGAGGATGGTTTTTCCCCACATGTTCTTCACACAAAAATCACATGAATACCTGCAAAAGTGAAAATAGAAATAGGTGTTTGCAAAAGGCCACACAGCAGCACGGGAAGGAGCCAGCGCTGTTCTGCAGGTGCCTTCAGAAAGGAAGTTTCCAGCCCTGGTAGTTTTGCATAGAAACTCAAAGGAGAGGCTTGGATGCCTTTGGATGCCTCCCCACGCTGTGTGACTCCCTTGCACTGAGTTAGTTACTCATCCGCGTAGGTCAGAGGCCAGTGATTCCTGCAAAGCTTCTATAATTAAGTGAGATGGTGCAGAATCAGAGTCCGGAAGATTGCGGTGAATACCTCATTACGACTCACAGGATAATTGTGTGTGTCCTTGAGTCACAGCTCTCAAACTTGGAGCAAGGTGGGGAAATTAAATCTCAGAAGGTGTTCAAGGACAACCTTGTCCTCCTTGAGCTCCTTGTTCCTGGGACAAGGGCTGACAGGGCTGCAGTGGCATAAGTACTTCCCTGCATCTAAAACAGCCACAACCCCTGCCTTTAGGCAGTGCTTTAGGTCTGAATCTTAATGACACTGGACTAAATTCGGAGTAAATCCAGAAGTCCTCCCAGACTGAGCTGCTCCTGCAGGGATGGACCCCACAGCACAGGGGCCCTATAGCTCCTATACCTTCTCTCTTTAGAGGCCAAGTGAGGTTCTGCCCACAAGATACTGTAATGTGCTATCATCCCAAAGGATGTGGCATCCCATGGTCCTGTTAGCACTGCCTGCAGATCTGTTACTGATTCATTTTCCATTTCCCCCATTCTCCTACTGCTCCTCTTGATCCCAGGGCAGCCTCACTGGAAACCCCAGTAAGGGCTTGACACCTGCCTCTCCTGTTTCCTCCGCAGGCTATGGGCACGCTGCCCCGGGCACGGATGCTGGCAAAGTGTTCTGCATGTTCTATGCCATCCTGGGCATCCCTCTGACACTGGTCATGTTCCAGAGCCTGGGGGAGCGCATGAACACTGTTGTGCGGCTACTGCTCAAGAAGATCAAGAAGTGCCTGGGCATGAGGACAACCAATGTCTCCATGGAGAACATGGTCCTCGTTGGCTTTCTTTCCTGCATGGGCACCCTGTGCATCGGCGCAGCAGCCTTCTCTTATTTCGAGGGCTGGACTTTCTTTCATGCCTATTACTATTGCTTCATAACCTTGACCACTATTGGCTTTGGAGACTTTGTGGCTCTGCAGAAGAACGAGGCTTTGCAAAAGAAGCCCCCATACGTGGCTTTCAGCTTCATGTACATCCTGGTGGGCCTGACTGTCATCGGCGCCTTCCTCAACCTGGTGGTGCTGCGGTTCCTGACGATGAACTCTGAGGACGAGCGGCGCGACGCCGAGGAGCGAGCGTCACTGAGGAGAGCCCGGAACAACATCCACCTCAAGCCCAAAGAGGACAGCCGGAGCAGCAATGCCATTTTTCTACCCGCGGAGGACAGGACGAGCCAGATGAACCTCATCCCGCTGATCCACGAGGA